ATACAGCGTAAACTTATATATACCATTTTTAAAAAAGTAGCGCAAAAAACGGCATTACGTCATAGTGAAAAAATTCGCTTCGCGCAAATATTTCGTGTTGTGGAAAACGGCCTTAATTGTTGTGTAGATTAATGTTTTCACGTATTGTCTACACTAAAATATGCAGTTTAAGTAAGCAAGGTTTATGGCTTAATTGGTCAAAGAGTGAATGTTTTAATGTGTTATTATGTTGAAATATAAGTTATATTTTTTTTTCATGGAAGAATATATGTATTTTTACGCATTTTTTGTATTATTTAAATCATAATAAATAAGTCTACAAAAAGATGCTCGATAAACCATTCTGTTACCTCTTCTATTAGGTATGCGGAAATAGCCGTTTTACGGAATCGAATTTTGTGCTAAAATTCTGTGCCACGTTTTTTGAATTTTTTTTGAGGTAGCGTCAGACAAACGTTTTGTTGTGGTGTTTCTTTTTAGAAAAGTATATCAACATAGATTATTTTTGAAAAGAAGAGACTTAGATGCATATTTTTATGAATCAATTATGTATGGATGATTTACTTTTTATTGACTTTATAGATATTGAAAATTTACTTGATGTTGTCACGTGAAATTTGTATTGATGAAATGCTGAGACATTTTGCAAAACTACTGAGACATTTTTTTACATCCTTTATTTATTCACCTGCCAAATTTCAAGAAAAAATAATATGTAGCAGATAATTTAAAAAGTGTAGCAGTTTTGGTACCTAAATTTTGTTTTCACAAATTCGCGATGGGTGTTGTTGTGGTTGGGGGAGAAAGTCGGAATCTACATACTATGTATATAACAATAACAGTAATAATAATACTGTCATTATTATTGTTGTCGTTATTTTAATAATTTCATTGTTTTATATTTATTATTAAATCATAATTTATGTATATAATATAAATACACTATATTATGGTTTATTCTTTAATATTCTTTTAGATAAAATAATATTCTTTTATATTCCTAATAATATTCTTTTATATTCTTAATATTCTTTTAGATAAAAAGCAGATATTTGTTTAACAATCATTGTTAATCTCATCAATCAATCTCAGATTGATTTTTGTAAACAAAAAATTCATTTTTGTAAACAAAACAATCTCAGAAAGATTTTGAAAATCTTTGGATATTACCATATCTAGTAAGGTATTTATGTCTTTAATCGTGACATTTGTATTTAAAAATTTTTGTATAATTTTTGTAGTTTTATTTTTCTGTTTCAAGTAAGGAATTAAAAAAAAAATGTCTTTATAATTCCTGTTATGTCTGAAACTGTAAAGTGTTATTCTTTAAACATTAGGATAAAAATTTTAGTATGTTGTCAAATGTGCTAACAGGTAATATTCCATTTTTGAAAAAAAATGGAATATTACCTGGAAAAGCTGATGATTACATTTTTGGGCATTACATTGTACTGATTTCATTGTATTGATTACATTGTAGGGCAGTAGATCATCTAGCTTTTATTTATTCGAATTTTCATTTACATAATTATGATGAGTGTTGTTAATTGAGTATTGAAAATATTTCCATCACAATATCAGACAGAGTTGCAGTTAACCATCTAACCATAAGCAAAGTTAGTGCAACTTGGGGTAAAACTCTGAATATATTGAATTTTTATTTGCACCCTCTTGATACAATTGCTACTGAATGTCGCTCAGCGTTGATGTGTCTAGAGACGGAAAATTTGAATTATTTGGCAATGATTATGTAGCTGTCAAAATTGATTTGGCTGTGAATAAGATGAGGTTTAAAGACAGTGAAAGCGATCCCAAGGGATTTGTTACTTTTTAAGACCACAAAAAACTACCTAGGTGTATCATCCCTAGATATCGAGGAAACCGTCTTCATATTTTCTTTTTAATACTTGTCATATATTTATTAAACACTATGCTAATTTTCTAAATTTTCTGATCACTAGAACAGTCAAATGTGGCCGTTTGCAAGCAGCTCTGCGAGAAGCATTTTGTAATGCTACCACTTTAAAAAAAATGTGTGTGCTTGGTGTATTTGGGAAACTGCTAAGTGGTCCGTGGATGACTAAGTTTTATGTATCAACTGAGGATGCAAATTTTGATCATCTAACCGGTATTCAGATTCTAAAAAACATTTTGGAAACAGTTAATGTTTGCAAATCTAATCCGGCTGCACTGTTTTGCAGAGCAACAGATTTTTTGGGGGAAATGCTTCCCTCAAATGTTTTTGAACCAATAACATATTAATGCTGCATTGATGACCAGGTTATTAACATGACTTCAGCTTGTCTTAATTCAGTAAAGGATGTATTGATTAGACAATGTAAAAGGTACTTCTCCTTTTTCATTACAGAGACACTTAAGCAGGAAACAGCTAGTGCAAGGTTTCACAATATAGATAGTGAAGAGTTAATTGGTATGTTTAGTGAATCTAAGGGAAGATTCCCTAATACAACAATTTCATATAATTCTTGAATGTAAAGGAATAAGTGAATGTAAAGGAAGATCCTCTAATGCAACAACTTGTTATATTTCTTGCAAAATAAGATGAAAAAAGAATAGGACTATTTATTATCTTGATAGTTTAGATTACTAACTAAGAAAATGTAATTAATGGTCCATTTTCTACAAGATGCTCAAATTCGATCTGCATTATATAAGAGACAGACATGCAAGCATCAAATGTTGGATGAACAAGATAAAAAGAAATTATAACAAAAACTTAAGTTAATGACTTTCAGCCAGATTAAGAATTTGTATAAACAATTATCATCCAGTTGCTACAAAGCAACTGGATGATTTAGATGATGTTATGTCTGACAGAATTGTTAGTAGCAAACTATATCATGAATGGTATGATATTGAACAATCTAAGTATACGATGGCAGAGTAGAAAAAGTAAAAAAAAAGATTGCATGACAAAATTTACACTATCTCTTACTGGAAAAAAGATGAATCTGATTCTGAAGCTGATAATTATTGCATGAAAAAATTCCAGCTGGCCCTAGATGCTGTATCAGGAGAATTTTTTTTTTTTTTTAATGTTAATGTGTATTATTTGTTTTTAATGTTAATATGTATTGTTTTCATAATTGAAAGGTAAGTCCAAAATAGATACTGCAAATGTTAGAACTTGAAAAGTCTTAACATTTGAAAAGTATCGCAAATGTTGTGACTTATAAAATTGGTACAGAAGTGTTGTGACTTGCACAAATTATTGATAGACGGCTCTGACTTACCTTCTTGTGATGTCTATCGTTAAAAAATGATTAATATTTTGTTTCATTAGTGGAATTTCAAATTGTTTACTAAAAGCCAAGATACTAATTAATTACAATGGGTATTTTGTTTACACTAAATTACATAATTTTAAATATTTTATTTTTAAAACATTTTACATGTTTTTTTAGGTTAGATGTTAAAAAATCAAACAGCCTTTTGCCTAAGAGTTTAAATACTCGTACACATTTTGTATTAAAAATTAAAGTGTTAAAATTTTTGTTTATTTTTAACAATATTTTTCAATTTAAAGTTAAAAAAAAAATTTTAGATTGGAGGGGCTATTTCTCTTTCCTATGTGAAACTGGATAAACATTTGCTTTTTGTAAAGTGGTAAAATGTCTGTTTATACTAATTTTTGACGTTTGAAAATGTAAACAAATTTTTCTTTTTTTAAATGACAAAAATTGACCAAAAAAATATTGGGGGGGGGGCGGTTAGGCGAAAGCGGGCGCACGCCCTTACCTCTCAAGTAAAAGTATACCATACTAACAAGTTGTAATGTAGTAAAGTATTTTTTTTTTAATTTGGAAGGAGATTGGGGGAGGGGCGGTGCTGCGCGGGTGTACGCCCCTCACCTTGACTCGAGTTATACACCACTAACCACTAGTTGTAAAGTACAACTAGTGGTTAGTAAAACTTAAATTTTATTTTTTGTTCTAGATTATTTAATTGGAGATAATATTATTTATAAAAAAGGAATTATTTTTGTTAATAATACGTGTTAAACAAGCACCACCACATCCACCCCTAACTCAAAGGTACACATCTCATATATGGTGGTAAGCTGGGATCTAAATATTGGAACTTCTGTTTGATTTTTTTCAGTATTAAAATACTTTTTTATGATAGAATATTCAATTTTTTGGTGGTAAAAGTCGTAGTTCGGGGCCCCCTCTAGCCGTCCACTCACGCCCTATGGCAAGATGCTGCTATAAAATTGTAGCCCACTCTTACATCTTTCTTTTGATACCAAATTATAGAAATTTCAACAAGAATTTGCATAGTTATAACCATTTTCGATACAAAAAAAATTATTTTGACCACAGTTTCTTTAACAATTTCATATATTCAAAAATTGTCACTCAAAACCTCATAACTTTTTTTTGAATGGTTTGATTTTGATAATTTTTTCACCGTTGAAATACTGTATTAATGCTCTTTTTAACGATATATAACAATATAATATTTTGTAAATTTAAAAATTTCATGTCACATACCTACTTCTATGCACATAGTTTTACATTTGAAATTGATAATTGTATTATTATCTTTTTTTTTTATTAGAGATTTTCAAAGATAATATATATATCTTGAGATGTTTTTGTTTTGTTTTTGTAAAAATTGACATTTTTGTTTTTTAAAAAGTCTTTAAACTTAAAATATTGAATTACCTTTAAAATCTCTAACTAAATATGGACCTAACACACAAAGGACCATTTGTGGAATTTTTTTTAATATGAAGTCAAAGATAAATATGAATTTATCTCTGATGTTTCTTTGTGACTTTTTAGCTCAAAAATTGGGAGCCATTTAAAAAAAAATATTTTTTATTTTTGATTACAAAAAAAATATTTTTTTTCTTAATAAAGACTTTATTTTGAATGTTAAAATTTAAATGAATGAAGTTATTTTTATTTATTTGTCACATTCAAAAAGGTTTCCTAGTTAGTTAAATATATTTTGTAAAAATAATTTTTATTTGTAGGTATAAATAGTATATATATAAAGTAGTATGAAAGAATGTTTTCAAAAATCTTAACATGCAACGTGTAACTGGCAACACAGCAGTGTTGTTCATGCTTAACCGTGGAATGAAATCAGATCATTTTATAAAGTATGTTTATGTTTATTCTACTTAATTGTGTTTTTAGGATATTTAAACACACTATATATTACTTTTCATTGGGCTGAGATAAGCAGGCTTTGTGGTAAAAAAAATACTTGAACATTTTTGAAGTTCGGAGTTTTATCTTTTTATTATAAGGTCTTTTTAATTGTTTATATTATTTAATATTTTTAGTTTTATATTTTTGTTTTGTGTTTTTTTTTCTGTTTGATGTTTTTGTATTCATGCATTTCAAAGTTATGCTTTCATTATATTATAAAATTGTATATTTTATACCGCTTTTTTTTTTTTTTTCGTCTACTTGTATTGTAACATCATTAAATATTTTTATGAAGAATAAATTTTTTACTTGATTACATAATATTAACTTAATAAGTTATTATTTAATTGATAAATATTTTATTATTAAGTTTTATTATTGATTATATGATTTAATTATTGAAAGACTTCCAGAGATGTAAAGACTGGTGAATAAAAATTATAATCAGCTACAAAAATGTATTTCAGGAATTAAAATTACTATATTTAACAGACTGTTTGAATAATACTGTTACATTATATTGGTAATGAAAAAAAGTGTTAACAGGATTTTTTTATTTTTACAGATATGAATGTTTTCTATTAATAATTTTTCATACATATCTTAAAAAAGTGTTTCTCTCATTTACATTCATCAATATCCATTTATATTTTGCATTTTCAAAAACAAAAAACATTTTTTAGTTTGTTTTTGTTTTTGATTATTAAATTATTATAAACCATGATGTTTAGGTTAAGGTTATATCGTTAAAGCTATGACCCAAGCAAGTATTGTGAATTTAAATTATATATCACAGATCTAATGACTTACAAAATTTTTACTGCAAGCTTTGTGGCCAGAGGTGATTCTACAAATAAACTGAGGGGCGTGCATCCCTAAAAATTACTGACTTATTCCTTAAAAGCAAAAGTTCTTAAAAACTAAAATTTATCCCACTGAATTGTGTCAGATACCTGACTAGCCAACTAAATTTGTAAAAAAACTGGCTATAACTTGAAAATCACCTTCTTTGGAATGGGGGGATACTCTTCCCCGTAAAATCGCCTCTGATTGTGACTTGCAAAGCAGCTGTTTAGTTGTATGGCTTTTTTATTAGAAAATTTGTGCTGGCAAATATCAAAAAAATATACAAACAACACATTTTTTGGTTTCATTTCATTTCTGAAAATCCTTTTTCATCTTGACTACATCTTTATTTCAAAAAATATTTTTATTCATAATAGTTGATATACGTTTTTAGACATGGATTTTTTTATATTATATTAATATATTTTCATATAACCTTCATGGAAAGGATAGCATATTCAAAATATAAAAACAATTTATATCTATTAGTTTTGATAAACCTGTTATAATATATATATATATATATATATATATATATATATATATATATATATATATATATATATATATATATATATATATATATATATATATATATATATATATATATATATATATATATATATATATATATATATATATATATATATATATATATATATATATATATAAACTATTACCTGTTATAAAAATATCAATCACACCTTTCTTATTGTTATGCTTTTTATTTATTTTAAATAAATTAAGGCGTAAATGTAAATAGTAGTTCCATTGGTTTAAGGTTAAGTTACTCTATTGGTTTAAGATAAAGTTATTCTATTGGTTTAAGATTAAGTTAAGTTTAAGGTTAGCTATTTAATCCACAACATATCCAAAGCTAGGCTCTTCAACAAGTTATGCAAATTACAGTGTGTGTAGATTTATGAAATAGAATTTACAAATTGAATGAAAATAGAACATGTATGATAGATTGATTGGACAGTAGTAATTTTTTTATTTTTGTTTTTTAGGTATTGACAGGCTCTACTTGACCTTCCTGCAATGTTGTTAAAAGAACCTCTAACTACAAGCCAACATAAAGTATTTTTTTTAAGCAGTATGTTCAAAGAAGAACTCGCCTTCCACTTTACCCACACTTTTGATAAATTATACTTCATAATTTCTTTAAACTATTTTAGAAAATTGTTTTATGTTGGTTTTTTACTAAATTTTTATTTAAAAAAATTCTTTTACGTATAGGTTTTTAGTTTTTTAATAATTAATTTTTATTCAGGAGTATAGTTATAATTGGCGTGTATTTTTTTCCAAATATCAATTTGATATCATGTTATCAATTTTAGAGTATAATCCAAGATATGTCATCAAATTGAGAGTTTAATCTCAAGTTATATGAACTAATGTTAGGATGTTTAAAGGAGGTATATAATATGTGATGTGAAAATATGCGTATTTTGCCGTAAAAAAAAGTGACGAAAAATGGTATTAGGCCAAATTAGGCAGCATTGCTATTTCGTTACGTTAGAATAATAGGATCTTATTTTTTGCTGAGAAATGCTTCTCAGCAAAAAATGACGTTAGAATTATCTCCTTTTTGTAACGTTAAGAGAATTAAACAAAACTTGTTATAATCTCTTAAATTTTTAAAATAAAAAATAAAAATTTGTTAAATTCATTAAATTAAAAGGTAAAAATATCAAATTTGTTCAATAAATTGTTTAGAACACACACCATTATTTATTAAGTAATATAAACTGATAAAGACAAAATAGTATATCGGTAGATGAGAATTATAAGGTTTTTTTCCCCAATTTTAATGGTAAAAAAAAATTTCTGTTTTTATTTAGATTATTTTTGTGTTCATAATTACATAATTTTCGTATATTAATTTTATTATTTATATAATATTTAAAAACGTATGTTTTTGTTTTTTTCATTGTTAACTTCAACCTTATTTAATAAAGTTTGAATTAACAATTTTAAACTATTATTTAAATAATTTTTAAAATTTTTAATATTTATAAAACTTAAATAACATAAAAAAACATTTTATCTATATAAACAACACGGCTGTAAAATAATTAAAAATCAAAAGTTAAATTCTATTAATGAAGAAACAACGCTATTATTCTAACGTCACGATTTGTGAACTAAATGAAATGAAATTTTGTATTTACATAGCAAAATAGTCAATGTATATTTTAATATATTTCATGTTTATTTTTATAAACGTAAAATATATTGATATAAAAAAATTATGTGATTTTACGTTGCAAATTCTCGATATTTCCCATAAAAATATGCTCTTAATGTTAAAGCGGGTCCCCTCATAAAACTAAAGGGTCTTTTATATCATTCCCCAAAGCACACAAGCTATTATTGTGAAAATATAGTTTGGAAGTGTTAGTACCCCGAGTTCGCATATGTAAAATTTTGCTGATCACAAGCAAGGCCGGATTTACCTATAGCCCGACTAGGCCACGGCCTAGGGCCCCCAACATTTGGAGGCCCCAAAATTTAATAAACATAAAAAGTTGAAAACTAAAAATAATGTGTAGAAAAATCAAAAATGTTGTAAAATTTATTTTTCATTAAATTCTCAACATTCACACTGTTTTGTTTAAATAATAAAATTTAAAAATTTTTTTTTTCCCAAAATTAAATCATTTTAGGGGCCTCAAAAATGTTTTGGCCTAGGGCTCCCAAAAGGCTAAATCCGGCCCTGATCACAAGGTAGTAAAATTGAACTCCGACCGGTCCAGAACACTCGTATCCTTATTTCGCATTAAAACTTAGCTTAAAAAGTTATTGCAGATACTAAAAAAAATATATTGATTTCAGCATACTCATTATATTTCCCATATTATATAAACTTGTTATAAGTTTTTGAAAAAAAAATTATAAGGTAAAATAAATGATTATTTAATTGTTTATCATTTAATATAAATTTTAAGCAAAAATAAGAATTATAAATATTCGCTTGTGTGTGTTTAAATGCATACTGTTTAAATATTATTTAAATAATATAGAATTAATAAAAACTTTTATATAGTAAGATCATTTAAAAGGACTGAATTATTCTGATGATGTACCTTTAAATTCACTCACAATATGCGTTAAAAGACATGTCATTTTTTTGTATTACAAAAATAAATTTTCTGCTCAACAACAGCAAAAATTCTCAGCAAAACATTTGGTTATCATTTAACAAAAAACAAGTATGATATTAATAAACACCAGCGTCATTAAGGTGGTACCCCAAGAAATAAAAGTCAATTTTAAAAATTTTTTTAATTTGGTTCATTGTTTCTTTGTTCACAGAATACAACAACTTTTAATGCGAAATTTTAACTTTGAGTAATAATAATTTAGGTTTATTTATGAACCAAGTAGTTGTAATGTCCATAACAACCCCATTGCAAACAATATGTAAACGAAAATATTTCCAATGTATAACTGCAAAAATCAATATATTTTAAATATTAAAAAATATTTGAGTATCATAGCCTACTTTAATTATTTTTTTGGACGTAAGTTGAATGATCAATTCTAATTTTAATATTTAAATCGAAAAATCTCAAAATATACTTTTTCACTAGTTTTCAAAGTTTGTGATATGATACTTATTAAATAATTATGCAAAAATGCTGAAACTTTCACAGATTGTTTTTCAAATTATTAAAATTCATTTGAAAGATTTTTTTTCAATGCATTTTAGATCTTGAAATTTTGTTATTTTACTGTTGTTTAGCTCGCTTACTTTTTAGTGTTTCATGCATAATTTCTAAAATATTCATTTGTTTTCATTTATTTTCTCTCAAATGAATTATGTTACCATTATTAAAAAATGTTCCAAATTTTATGCTAAAATGACCAGTAGATTTTGAGTAATTACTTCACAAAAATTCGATTATTTTCAATTTTTTTGGGGTAGTCGAGGCAAAGATTTTCCATTTTGGTAGCATTTTTGAAAATTATTTTAAATTACGTATTTATACTGTAAAAATTAAAGTGTGTTCTAATTCCAATTTAGTTCAGATTTTTATTTATTTCTTGGGGTACCACCTTAAATTAAAAAACAAATCTCAAGGGATATGAAAAAATTTGTTCGGATGTTTTTTTTGAGTTAAAAGTTCCCAAAACTATAAATGACACTTCGTTAGCATGAACTTAAGACTTTGCTGATATTTCTCAGCCATCTAAGTCTACAGTTAGTACAAATTTTATAAATCTAAATGTGTCTGTGTTTGTGCATAGAAGAAGTTCAAGTTGAAGATCCAAGAGGACCTAATGTGACCCCGATTAAAGCTAAATAAAAAAGGCGTCTTACTATATAATTACAATGACGCAGTGATGGAAGAAAAAAATACAGGGAAGTAATTTTATAATACAAAGAGAAAACTTAAGTAGATACCCATTAAAGTAAGACTTGTAAAGAAAAATATTTAGAAAAAAAATAACATTATTTGCAACCTTAAAAAAAAATTAAAATCAATTATAGATGAAGCAGGACAATAAAATTGAAAAAGGCTGTAATTATTAATAAAAAGGCAGACAAAAATATCAGCAATAATGTCTATATTATGAAGCTTCTCTTAAAGAAGATTTTGAAGTTTTTTTAAGCTGAAGAATTTCAGCATTTTGTTTTTGATTTAAAAATCAAAATGTTGAAATTCTTCAACTTAATGAAAAACTTGCAATAAGTTCTCAAGTAATTATATCACTTGAACATCAAAATCTTCTTCTTAAAGAGAAGCTTCATAATTTAGAATGCAATTAAATGGTTTCAAAAAAAAACAAAAAAGCATATTATACAGATCTACGAAATCTTATTTTTGATGCTGTGGCTAACCTGCAACTTGCATTTCTGCAACTTGCGTTTCTTCTTTAATTCAAAGTTTTACACAGCGTTTGGGTGTTACCATTAAAACTGTAGCTCATTGTAACACTCTTGAACAAATGGTGAGGGAACTAGGTGTTGTCACTGACCTTTTAAACAGCAGAAATTGCAATTGCAGAAAAAAATATTACATTTAGATTTTATGGTACAACTCAGAAAGATGTATACGCCAGCTGTATTCACCTTTCTACTAAAACTGGTTGTCAAGCTGTGGCGCTGGATGAATTAGGTAGTGATACAGCAGAGGACTACTAACAGCATATAAGTCAATTATTAGACAACTTTGCTAAAATTTATGCTTCTTTTATCTTAAAAGATTCCCAAGAGTGTCGTTAAACTATTATTGATAACAAACTTTGTTTTTCTGATCGAGCCGTTATTAACCATGCCACTATAAAAAATTAACCTGGAATGGAGCAAAACCTTAAATGAATTGAAATGTCATCTTCATCCTCTAGAAACATTTTCGATTAGCTGTAGACTTGCACTTAAAGTAAAAGAAAAAGAAAAGTGAAAACTATTTGGTAGTGATTGCATGGCCGGAAATATCGGTGTACAACTAAATAAAATTCGGTATATGGATAAAAAAGGTAATCCTTAAGGATTTATTTTATTTTTATTAAAAGAAAAGTTTGCTAAAGTTTTACTTCCTAGGTATAAAGGAAATTGTTTGCATATTTCTTTTCACATTTTAGGAATTTTGGTTCAACATTATGATGTTTTAAAAACATTTTTGACATCAAGTCGTATCTCATATGTTAAGATATGACTTGATAAATGTTGAGATGACAGTAAATAAACTGGATTGCAATCCAGTTTATCTACTAATTTTACAAACAATGCTGCTAAACAAGAACTTTGTGTTGATGGATTAATAGCAAAACTTTTAACTAGTCCTTGGAATAAAAAATTTATGTTTCCGTTGAAAAACAGATCTCTTACTTAGATTTTATTGTTATCATTAAAAATGTCGTTGACAGCGTTAACCAATATCTAGAAAATCTACTAAACATCATATTAAGATCACATAACTTCTTTGAAGATAAATTAGATTAAAAAAAAATTTGTATGAAAGGCCCTAATTGAATTCTGACCAAAAGATAACTATATGAAAATTATGATTTCCGTTTGCCTGATTGCTTTGTCTGAAGTAATCAAAAGACAGTATAGGAACTGTATTGATATAATACCTACAGAGCAAATGGTAAATCAACAAGGCTACACAATATGAATGCTGAGAAAATGATGGGAATGTTTAGTGCAGCACAAAAAGTTGTACCTAATGCAACTCTTTTTTACCTTTGATCTAGACTGCGTGAAAGAAAAAAAAATCCTATAAGTTATTTCAACAGTCTTCCAAAACATGTTAAGAGTTGGTGATGGAGTGGGCCATTAAATTTGCTGCAAAAAAAAGAGAAAATAATAGATTAAAGAAGTCAGAGGTCAATAAGGAGATGGAAAGCAGACAAGAGCAAAAACAGCAAAAAATATATACAAAAGAAAGAAAGAAAATAGATAAAAAAATTAAAAATAATAGATATGAGTGTTGATAATTTAGAAAATAAATTTCCAGACATTAGTGAAACAAATTTTATTGATGTTGAGAGTGTAATGTCTGGAGCTGCCATCGGTATACATATATATATATATATATATATATATATATATATATATATATATATATATATATATATATATATATATATATATATATATATATATATATATATATATATATATATATATATATATATATATATATATATACATATATATATATATATATATATATATATATATATATATATATATATATATATATATATATATATATATATATATATATATACATCATATATATATACATCATATATATATATATATATATATATATATACATCATATATATATATATATATACATCATATATATATATATATATATATATATATATATATATATATATATATATATATATATCAATATGATTTAGTTTATCAAAATTTTATAGTTGTTTTTACATGGTTTCCACTTACAATGACTTTTTTGTTTGAAAACATGCGCAAACTAGCAATTGGGAGATTTTTATACAAAAATTAACGCCGTAGTAGCGCAGTTGTTAGCGCGCTTGCCTCAGAAGATAGAGCTCCGTGGTACAACGCCACTTCTGGGCAAGTTTTATAATGTCGGTAAGGAAAGAGGCGAGATCTTCCTTTCAAATGCTCTTCCGCAATGCTTTGTGATATGACTGTAAGGACTTCTTGGGGCACCTAAAATAAATTAAATATAAAAAGTTAAATATAACATCAAAAAGCTGCAGTTTTCAAATATGGCATACATTGCGTCTTGTTTGCATTCGCCCATACATCGAGTTTGCTGTACAAGCTTGGTCGCCTTTTTTAAACATCGTCATCCTCAAGCAAATCCGACATCTAGCAACAAAAACGCAAAAAAAAAAAAAAAAAAAAAAAAAAAAAATTAGTTTTTCAAAAATTAAAAAGAGTTTTGAAAAGAAACTTTTTAAAAGATAGCCGAGTATCTGTTCTTTATATAGAACTATGCCAAAGAACTCTTAAACCAGCTAGATAAATTTGTTCGCGATAAAAGCATATGATGTTGAATCTATGAAGCAAAACCTACATATTTTTTATGTTCAAAAAAACAACGATATTTTAGGACAAATGCAACTTATATTATAAAAAGTAAAGTTGGAAAAGCTAATAAAAAAAAAGTAAGCAATTATCTCTGTTGAATTTGTTACAACAATTTGTTGTTATAACAGTGTTAGAGCGCGGTATATTTTGTTAACTCCAGCAATAAATAAAAGATTAGTGGCTGTAGAAATTGTTGAATCTCTCTACTTATTATAGTATCTCTTCTTTCTTTATTGTATTTAAATAATGTACTTATATATTATCTTGTTTGATTTTTTAATAATGGTGTTTGTAGAAATTTATTTCAGTGCTAAAATAAAAAGATTTTTATTGTTGAGATTTCAAAAAATCATTTGATATAAACTTAAAATGGAAAAAAAATTAATTTAAAAAAAAAACAATTTTGGAGGGTTTGGGTAGAAACTATTCTTCCTGAACATTAGGGGCGGATGCAGCATTTTTTTATGTTTAAGATTACTAACTTCCAGAAAGCTAGACAAATTACAAACATATATATGTTATACAAACGTCAAATAAGGATGCTTTGCAAAAAATTGCGATGATCGGAGTCTAGGAAGAAAAAACCCATTAAAAAAACCGCTTGGCAACGACTGCACTAAACTTGAGAGTACCATGTTTATAAAATATTTTCTCTACTATTCTCAAACAAACTTGTATTATCGTTAAATTTTAAAAATCATACAAAAATTTCTTTGCGTTCGAAAATTATAGGTATACAAAGTTTGAATTCCCCTTAATCTGAAATTGTTAAAAATTCAATTATTTATCATCAGTCAATAATTATAGTTTTATATTATATTTACTTAAAACTTTAGTTTGTAAAGTTACTCAATACCTTGACTGTTGTAGTGCAATATAAAATAAAATATACCTAATATCAGTTTACACGAAATTAAGTCAAACGAAACATTAAAAATATTATAAAACATGTTAAACTTTTGTTCGAACTGCTGGCAACTGTGTCAACGGTGAGATCGAAACACGCTTTGTTTATTGTTATGTATTTAGACCTTAACATTTTTGAAAAATATTACTACTTCTTATTTTAATGGCATCTATGTTACTAAAGTTTTCTTGATATATACGTAATAAAAATAAGTATAGATTCTAGTGATCAGCTGCTACTAATGCATCAACCGATTAGTGTAAAAATTCAGTTTTGACTTGAAAATGAGAATTGTATTAAAGTTTTTATTATAAAATGTTTAACTTTAACTCTTAACCCAGACTAAAACACACTGCAAAAACTTTTTAAAATGATGTATCATTATTAATAAAATCAATAAAAAATATAAAGTAAAAGCAACAAAAACATTCAAAATTTATTTTTTATTACAATTGCATTTTACCGCATCTTCTATGAAATCTCCCGACATAACCTCCCTCTCATATTATATGAAATCTCCCTAAATAACCTCCCTACATAAACACCCAACATAATCTTTAAGACACTTTTTTATAACAAAAATAACCTGTAGCACGGGATGTTTACTGCTATTAATACAATTTTACACTTTTTACACTGTTACAGTTTTACTTTTTACACTATTACAATTTTACACTAAATTTTTTTATACTTGAAAACAATCAATTTTCATCTCTATCTGAAGTAAGCTGTAGCAAAAAGTTTACTAAAGAAATTATCCATATTTTATTTATTTCGCTCTTGGTTTAGACAGTAGGCTTTATAGTTGAACATAATATTCATGTGAATTTTGTTTACCTCCTTTGAAATGTGCTCAACACGCGCTGTAAGAAATTAATAAAATAAAATCTTTATAGTTGAATATAGATTTAATGTAAATTTTGTTTACCTCCTCTGAAATGTGCTGAACATGCGCTATAAGAAATTATTAAATTAAAATCTTTTTTAATGATTAAGTGAGAGCCAATTATTCCTCAATTTATTGTCTTTTGGGATAACATAAAAAATATCTCAAAATATTTCTTAGAAATGACGTATGCTACTTCCAAAGAATTATCATACTTTTAAAGTTGTTTTAATAGCAACAGTTTTTTTAATGTCAATAAAAGATTTCTTTGTGAACAGTTTTATTATTTGCTAAATACTACAATATAGAAAAACCACAATGCTTTGCGGAATTGCCGTAGTGAAGAATAGGGAGTTGTTATTTTCCGGTCATTTTTTTGTAAGAACTAAATAAAAAAATTACAACAACGTAAGCAACGTTAACATCATTATTTTCAATTACTGTTTGCAGTTAGTTCGACGTACAGAAATCACGAGTAAATAGGAATAAAAAAAATAAGAGGAGAGATAAAGATTTCCAACGGAAAAGTTAATTTTAATATTATTATACAGAAAATATATTAACTTATTTAAAGTTTTTAAACAGAAAAGTTTAAAATCTCCAATTTAAGAAGCATCTTTAACTGTTGTGGCTTTCAGCTCTGGGAAAAGTAAATTCAGATAAAAAGAAAAAAAAATTCAAATGTTTTACCTTTTTATCTTTCTATCGTAGTAAATATAGTTCGATACAATACTTATATTTCAAAAAATAGTCACTAATATCTGCAAAAAAGCAACTTAACATTGTAATATAAAAAAAACTTAATTTTTTTTTTTTTTGGTAACATATTTATACGAAAATGCACATATTCATAAATAGATAATAAACATAAATATTTGATTTTTTAATTACACTTTTTAACTTGACTAGCTACAGTAAAAACTTTAATTAGTCATCTATCAAAATATTATAAATGTTTCATGAAGTTATATAAATGGTTTTCGATGACGAAACTTTCCACAGTTTTTTACGAATATCCTAAGGCTACATCAAGCGTTTTTATTTAAAGTTTTTTTTTTTGGTTTGATTTTTTTCACAGATTTATTAATTATAGTTTTTGCTTTTACTTTTACTATTATTTATACTTGTTTTTCAGATAGATTTCAAAAGTATTTTGTTATTTCTTATAACGTATGTGCCTTTTGATCTATTTATAATGAAATAGTTATATAGAGTTGAAACTATTAAGAACTATGGTTGTAAGATAATTTATTGAAAAAAGTGGAATAAAAAAGAAAAAAAAAAGAATATATACATATATACATGAATATATTAAGGCGTTTTTAAAAATAACACTTTAAAAAGAGTCTGATTGCTACCTCTAAATGCATTTTTACTATAAAATAATAATGGACAAAAATTTCTATAAAAATTGATTTCATGGGTTTCTCTTTATCAATGAATCTTTTGACAGGTCCTAACTGAAAAAAAAAAATTTTTTTTAATAGTTAACCTGCGTTTCAAATAAAGAGAAAGTGGATTAGAAAATTTTAAAATAACTTTAGTTTTACAATAATTTAAAAAACTTATAATAAATTTTAAATAATTAATGATACTACAAATTATCATTAATTATTATAACCATTAATAAATAATCATTAAAAAAGTATCATTAGTTAGAGATGTATAATACCATAAATATTTTGCTTTCTCTGATATGTCCTTTAAACTGCCTTCCCAAACTTTTCAAATACTGGAAACTGAGCTTTTACCTTTAAGACATTTAATATGTCAATAACATTCTTTTTGCATCCACTTTTAGTATTTATATTTTACTAGTGTTTGAACATCCACCATTTTGGCCTAAACTGTAATTATTGCAAAACCGTATGATATTGATAGTATTTTTTTTTATTTTTGTGATATTTATTAAAACTATTTCTTGATTTTTTGAACTAATTTTGCTAACATATATATTTTATAGAAATAATATTTGGACAAACTTTCAATTGCGGTTGCCAGCCGTTTAAACTAAAATTATTAGTTTAGAGCAAACAAGCTCTCACTAAACGTAAGAAAACAAACTTTACTCATAAAAAAAATAAAAAATTCCTAAAATATGAAAATAAGTCTATTGTTAAATATAAA